CACCGCCAACTCTTGGGCTACTCTTTTACCAACGAATAGTGGGATTGACCGTCACATTATAACGCACTCACGGCTGAAAGGGCGAGTATGTTTGGCGTGATGGGGATTCGAACCCGCAACCCACATATTGCGAGTCGAGCGCTCTAACCACCTAGCCATGCCGGGCCACGTGACTATGTCACTCATCCAAATGGAGATCCTTCTTGATTATGTTGCATACATACTATTGCATGTGTCACGTGGACAGCTTCTGTCAGTAACCTTTGTGCTCTGTGTTCTCACTTACTAAAAGACGCCATATTTTGCTTACCGCGGCTGGGGTGGGACAAGTTGATCCAATTTCTTTGTCTTAGGATGTTATGTAGTACAAGAGATATACCTGTCTTGGAAATTCTAAATCCCCAATCCGATCACATCTTTATGATTCGATCGTGTGTATGTTTTGCATCGGAAAGGGCTGTTACATATCCTTCCCAAAGTCGATCATTTTTAGTGGCATTGCACAACCTACTTAACGCCAAAGGATGTCAAAATGTAGTTCTGATACACATCGTTTCACCAAGGCTTTATATCAGCTGTGGTTGTTACGTGTATTTAATATAACGTTTGTTTGTTTTTGAATTTCACGCAAAGCTACACGAGGGCTATCTGCGCTAGCCGTCCCTAATTTAGCAGTGTAAGACTAGAGGGAAGGCAGCTAGTCATCACCACCCACCGCCAACTCTTGGGCTACTCTTTTACCAACGAATAGTGGGAATTGACCGTCACATTATAACGCCCCACGGCTGAAAGGGCGAGCATGACGAGCATGTTTGGTGGGACGGGGATTCGAACCCGCGACCCTCAGATTGCCCTAACCACCTGGCCATGCCGGCCTAGCTTACATTTGTTGTTGTGTTTTAGCGCAAAGCTGGACAATGGGCTTACTTGCGCTCTGCCCACCGCAGGGAATTGAACCCCGGAGTCCAGCGTTACAAGTTAAAGTGGGGAAACTGTATTAGTAAGAGAGACAAAGAACGAACAGCAAGAAAAGAAAAAATGGCGGAATACATAACGATCAAATGATAAAAATGAATGAATAAATTAATATATTGCGAGAAAACGTAATAAAAGGTTAATATCAAATATCTAACTAGTAACTAAACTTCACTGGTTTAATTTATGCTCTTCTGTAAAGAAAAGTGTTTGTTAAATTAATGAAAATTCGTATAACAAGTTTCTTTAGTGAGAGTTCACTTTATTAAAAATGGGACATTGAGTAATCTTTAAATAAAACTTAATGCTAAAATAACACTTCGGATGGTTCACATTATAATATAGCGTTAAAAATAACAAAATTTTATGACTAATATTCTGAACTTATATGTTGGGAAAAATACCTAAACGTTTTTTTATGAAGGGCGCTCCAGAGATCTGACATATCAAAATTAATGCTTAAAATTTCAAGTAATCAGTTACTATGCTCTTTGTTCAGAGCGCCACCTAAGCAGATCTTCTGAAACATTCCTGGTAAAACCTACCATCATTATTTGGCAGAATCTTATCCATTAGTTTCTTTGCTTGAAAAGGCCATATTTTTCTAATTGTTTCCCTCAGTTCTCTGTCCGCTATATCCATTTCGTCTGCTGAAAAGACGATATTCAAGATATTAACTGTTTAGATTGTACAGAATAAAATAGCCCAAAACATAAACACAAATACATCTTACTGTAAAATAGAGTTTAGAAATATGACTATAACAAGCGCTCTGAAAAACATTAAATTATAATAAAATAACAGATTTATATTTCTTGATATTAGATGTTAGCTAATCTGCCATGCATGATTTACATGGAACACTTGAGCCCGAAACAGTCTTACAGACTTTACATTTTCATTCTATTTAATGACCATTCAAAAACGGCCTTAATGCCTTCTGGAAAGTTTTCATTCTTCTTTGACCAATACTTTAGGTGTGGTTTTTCTCTCTCTCTCATTTCAATCTCTAATTATTTCATTCCCAAAATATGAGATGTGAAAAGAGACAGTAGATGACAGGATTCCATTTTGTTTGCTAAAGTAACGTTCAGCCAGCCTTTTGTCTTTTGATTCACAGACAGGATTCCATTTTGTTTGCTAAAGTAACGTTCAGCCAGCCTTTTGTCTTTTGATTCACAGACAGGATTCCATTTTGTTTGCTAAAGTAACTTTCAGCCAGCCTTTTGATTCACAGACAGGATTCTATTTTGTTTGCTGAAGTAATGTTTAGCCAGCCTGTTGTCTTTGGATTCTCATTTACAACTTCCATTCAGTTATCTTTCGTCAAAGCGTTACAATCAACATTACAAACACTACTTTAAATACTGCCAAACTCCCATCTTTGAAATCTACTAAATTTTGTGGTATTAACGTTAATCAAGGTTTACTGGGATGTAGCAGCACACAATGCAAAGTAAATTATTACGACTTACCAGGTCTCATTTTTATGATAAGGTTTTCTCGGATTAAAGCAAACAGGGTCGTAGTAAAATTGACTTTTCCTTCTTCTGTTATGGGCATGTTCATACGAATTAATTTCTATAAGAACAAAAAAAAAAGAGTAAAGTGGAACCCATATCAGAAAAACTGAAACCTTATACAAATTAACACAATCATTCGTCATCCAAGATTCAAGAAATAAAGGAAATAAAACATTGACAAGTAGCTGTAATGACGTGTTGATAAAGGAAAAAATAACTTGGAATCTAGACAGGATATGTTCGTCGCAAAATATAATGTGATTTTAATGGTTAATTTCGTTATTGAAGCAACACAGTTAAGCTCAATGTCTCTTTTTCTGGGTTTGTTATTTCAAAGTACTTGGTGTTTTTAATCTCTTTTTTTTAAGTTAGGAAATTTTACATTTGTGATCAGCATAGAATGCATTGTTTATCAAATTCTGAATTGGGAAATTCCTTTTTTCACACAGCTAGTAAGTTCTGGACGATATTTCCTTAATTACATTTACCTTATAGGCTAGTCTATAAGGACATTTGTTGCCGAACCCCAGTGGCGGATCCATGTTTCGTAGCATGTCGTACATTTCTGTGTAGTGAATGTAGCCGCTGGAAAAGATTTTATCATGTAATTAGGAATAATACTCAACATTAAAAAAGTTCAGAATATAAATGGTATTAAATATAACTAGACAACGAATAAAAGACAAACATAATGATAAATAAATAATATATGCTTTAATGAAATAAGACGCAAAAATCTTACGTAGCGCTAGGATCATATTCAGCCCAAACTCTTATGAATTCATCAAGGTGATGAGCGCCCAAGATAGAAGAATCTCGAGTTAAATAATCGAAGTTATCCATAATGACAGCAACGAAAAGGTTCAGCATCTGTACGTTAAAACGGACAGGATTAGTTACTCTTAAATTAACAAAGAAACGAAAAGGTTTAGCATCTGTAAGTTAAAACAGAGAGGATTAGTTACTCTTAAATTAACATAGAAACGAAAAGGTTTAGCATCTGTAAGTTAAAACAGAGAGGATTAGTTACTCTTAAATTAACAAAGAAACGAAAAGGTTTAGCATCTGTAAGTTAAAACAGAGAGGATTAGTTACTCTTAAATTAACAAAGAAACGAAAAG